TTGAAAATATCTTACAAACGATACCAGAATGAGCGCAATTGAGTGAAGGAGATTGGAGAAATAGCCAAAAAACCATGTAACTTTGACCTGAAAATCTGCACGAAAATCTTGTTCCATTACCCACCTACCTTTCCGAGCATGTGGTTTGAAAATAATGAGTAGTTTCCTAAAAAATCTCTACACCAAAATGAAGCCTACTAAATTTCCAGCAAGTGAGGAGAAACTTCAGGCAAGGAGAGGGGAAAAAAAGGGCAGGAGAAAAAGAGGAAAGTAAAAGTCGTAAGTGGGGCATTACTTTTCTGCGCGTGCCCGAGATTTTCAGGCGGCCATTTTGCATTTGGATCGAAAGGCCGTTGAGTGTATGAGCTGTCAATGGGTTTTTGGTAGGTTTGAGCTTTTAAAACCACAACAGTGACCCAAAATCTGCTCAACTAGCTTCAAAACACAGTTTTTCACAAAAGTTGCGGCCATTAATGGGTTAATGTTAGCAACCTTGTTGTAGGTGGGGACTTTACTAAGTCTTCAAGCAATTCATGAGAAAAGAAGGCATTCATTAGAGGTGGACAAACTATTTCAATCAAATCAAGTTGCAAATAGTTGAATGGGATCTAATGAACATTATGAGAAACAGGATACCAAAGGAAAATTTTATGCATTTGAATCCAGAGCTCTGAGACATAAATCAAGACTGGATTTTGTCTAAGTGGCAAAGCCACTTTTAAAAAAAGGGCAGAGGCCCTGGATCAGGGAAATTAACAATTCTGTTTTAAATGATGAAATTAGTTTAGAAAAATAACAATCAAGTCCATGATAATGTTGTGATGTACATAACAAAAGATTAATATGAGAACTTCATGTAATAAAGATGGGAATGAGAAATACCACAATTTGATATTTGAAAAACAAAGCCAAAAAACTCAAAGATTGCTTTGTAAGTGTAGAAAAGCATCTAGAGAAAATTGATTCAACTCTTAACAACAGCAATAATCTGGATGGATTCATTTCAATTAAAATTTTAATTATTTGTTTGAATTATTGAAATTTGCACTCATTGTTTCTTGTCAACCAATTGTTTCTCACTCTATAAGGCACATGCAGACTAATGCCAATATGAAATGGTAGTCTATTTAATTAGTAATTAAAACATCTCATGATTAGTGACTTAATATTTGAACGATATAAAAATGGGTCTCATGTCATAATATTATGAGTGTTTCACAAGTAATAAGTGTTTTAAACTTACATTTTTAAAAAGCTCAACGTAATCTGGTCATGTTTGTTTTGCCTTATAGAATTAGTATAGTTCAAATAGTCAACAATGTTTGTGCTTTCTGTTTGTAAGGAAATATACATAATGTAGTTTATATCTGGGTCAACAGTTAATCCCATTCTTCTGTCTTTTTAGATGCTGACTCAAAAATTTGTTACCAATGGCCTTGGAAAAATTCAGCACATGGATTTTTTACATTTCAGTTCTCCTTGTTATTGCCACTATGTATACAGTTGCATTTGTAAACAGAAAAGAGTTATCAGTACATGAAGTGCTCACTAACTTGGCTTATGACAATATCACAAAAACCATCTTTATTGGAGGTGAAAATGTGCTATTGAAAGCATCAGAAAATTTAGCAGAACACAAAAGGCAAGCCACTGGGCCCAACCTGGATTATGTAGATTGTTATCATGACCTGGGTGGAACTTGTGCTGGGGAGAATAGAAATAATGTGAACAAACTGCTGCTGATAGACAGTAGTAAAAGACGTCTTATAGTCTGTGGAAGCTTCAATCATGGAGTTTGTCAGATACGAAGTTTAGACACACTAGAAGTAGAAACAAATGGCACTGACTATGTTGTGTCAAGTGTACCCTTACAAGCAGAAGCACTGATAACACCATCTGTGAAAAGTTCAGGAACACGTGCAATTTATGTTGCAACTTCTTGGGACAAGAAATATTTTAAAAATCCTTTGAATTTCTTAAACCCAGCTTTATCAACTCGTGTTATTGATGAGTTAATGAATATCTTTAAACCTGTGAAGGATGATAGCTCTAAAAGCTATATTCAGTACAAAGAAAATGTAGTATATTATGCAAAATTTATTTATGCATTTTCAGCTGGTATTTTTAATTACTTTGTGTCTGTGCAGCAGACCACTGAATCTTATAAAAAATGTAATGGTGCATGTTCAGTTGATCAAGCAATATTCAAGACATTTATAGTTCGTGTCTGTCAAGAAGATGAAGTCTATGCATCTTACATGGAACTGCCACTTGACTGCAAAGGGTCAAATGGAACATCTTTCAACATAGCACAGTCCGCTTATCTCACAAAAGCTGGAGATGGCCTAGCAGTTGATGGATCTGAAGATGTGCTGGTTGTTACATTTTTCAAGGCTGACCAAGGTTGGAGTGGACCTTCGCAAAGCTCTGCTGTGTGTATATTTTCAGTAAAAGAAATCAAGACAGCTCTGGTGTCCAACCTAAAGAACTGTGTGAATAACGCTCCTGACGAAGAGATTAGCCTTCCATGGTTTCCAACACATGTTTTGGCATGTGAAAAGGAGGTAAGTACCCATAAATATACAAATAAAAAGGTTGGAAAAGTTTTAATTTTAATTTAATCATGATTTATATCACAATATACAGAGGGCATCAACAAACAAAAATTTAAACAATTTGATTCATTATTAATTGTTTACTAGATGTTAGCTCAGGGAAGGTGAATAATTGAAAGAAACTATTCTTCAATCAGTGACGATATTTTTTGGTGAATATGAAAGAGGCTGAAAAGGGGAAGTCAACTGATGTCCCTAACATAATGAATTGGTCAATTGAATTTGCCCTACACCTGGCTTATGTATCTACAGTGTATATTAGGTAAACATGTATTCCAATTTCTTCTCACATAGCACATAAAGTAACAGCTTTTGTAGTGCCTCAAAGTCCTGTGGTACCTTTTGCTCACTTGTAAAGCTTCCCCATTCTAGAGTTTAACAAAATGTTACTCATTTTCTTTTCACATTTGTATATGAACATGGGACAAGTGGATATATTTTACTGAATTCATAAAGGAAACAAGATTGATAGACTACTATGAGCATCAATTTAAAATTGTGTTTTTGTTTTTTTTTTTTATAGCAATCTACTCCAACAATAACAGAGAATTTCTGTCCAACTAGCACGTTTTATGCCTATCATCCATTTCGTGGAAAAACGCCTTTGACTAAAAGATCTGTGATGCAATATGAGAAAGGAATGTTAACTGCTGTTGCTGCAATGCCATATTACAATCATACAGTTATTTTTGCAGGTACTGACAGTGGTCAGCTTCTCAAGGTAATTAAATTTAATTGTCAACAATTATTGAATGTTTTGCAGTGTTAAAAGGGGTGGAGGGCTTAATCAAGGAGAGCCACATATTCATCAAACAAATTGAAATTGTTTCCAATAATGCTGCAGTCACAGTGTGTAATGTTCAGGAGTTCGCTTACAGTTTGCTTACAGTTTGCGTAGTTTGTTTGTTATCCTAAATTTTCTCACCCCCGTTCTCACTCTCAGTCAATCAGTACTCGAGTCTACATCTCCTGGGGCCTTGGGCGTGGACTTGGAGGCCTGGACACTACACAGTGTACTCCAAAACAATATTTTAATATATTGCCTGTGTTTGTTTCCAGTTGTTATACATGTTGGTTCTTGTTTCTTAATAGCCTACTGGTGAGTTTGGTCAGCACAAAAGGCAGATTGCAGACGGCAGACCATGATTGCACAACACCCAGGAAGTTGTAAGATGACATGTGCTCATGTACCAGACGAAAAAACAGTCAATATTCTCAGTCTGCATTTTGTACCCAGTCTGCAGTCTGCAATTTGTACCTAGTCTGCATTTTGTACGTAGTCTGCAGTCTGCAGTCTGCATTTTTTACTGACCACTTGTGAGTTTATGTATGCCAGGGAACTGGTACTGAAATAAGGCACCAAAATGAGGACGGTGCTCACTTGGTGGCATGAAACACAAAATAAAAAGTTTAAACATGTTTTTGTGTTTTTACAATATAGATGCAATCTAAGAAAATGAATAAAAATGACATTTTCACCATTGGTATTAAAAACAGTGATAATTCTTGTTATGGTATTCAAAAGACACTGCTGACCTTTGAATGAAAAACTTGCTATTGTTTTTTTACATTCACCAAAAAGTTTTCTGTGGAAGATGAACAACAGCAAGTGGACCCTTACAGTGAGTTGAAAATCAGCTCTGATGAAGTGCGTCGGATTATAGTAACCAGTAACCAACAACATTTGTACATCCTCAGTAAACACAAGGTACAATGTAACTGAATACTGAGTGTCTAATCTTCAATCAAATGGAATGCTTATGCCTGTATGTTTTAACCATGGATGCAAATATCCCTAATAGAAATCATGGTTGAACATGAAAGATGTCAAACAAGTTTATCAGAAATCCTGTAAAACTTTTTAAATTTACTTAATTATAAGTATTAAACAATAGTCCATTTTACAGTTGCGTGCTTGGTTGCCAAGCCTTTGAACAGGAGTGAGGCTAGAGATGACCTTGTTATGATACAAACCTTGCTGCCTTTCAAATGTAAATCACTTTGTTATCATGCTAACTAGATACAGGTCTCTATCACAACAAGGTCATCTTTAGCCTCACTCTGAATCAAAGGCTTGGCAACTAAGTACACAACTGTAAAATGGCCTATTAGAATTGACCACTTTCATAAATGGCTGCTGGATTAATATTCTTTTGTTTAAATTTAAATTAGCCTTTCTGGCCTCGCTTGAGATAATGTATTCTTTTGAATTTTGTACTGGAGAACGACGCCAGAAAGGCTAATTTAAATTTAAATAAAAGAATATTAATCCGGCAGCCATTTATGAAAGTGGTCTATAAGTGTACAGTAATGGGAATCATTGTTTTCCCCTTCTTATTTAAATTGTAGCCATCCAATAAGTCTGATTTACCTGTATGACTTTGCTTCACATCTTCTATTCTTGTTCAAAATGATGCAACATATGACTCATGAGATACTTGAAATACCCCATACTAGGTAAGTAAAGATAATAATTCTGTGAGTGATTAAATTTGATTTACTAAAGGTGACGAAATTACCTGTTGAAGACTGCAGTACTTCTGAATCTTGTGATAGATGCACAAAACCTAATGACCCATTCTGTGGCTGGTGTACATTGTACAAGAGGTAATTTTACATACATCTTGAAGGAGGTTGAAAACTTGTTTTATTTCTCCAATTTGCAATGTTTTTTGTTTGTTTTTTCTCTTAAATAGTGTTATTCTTTTTTAACTGTATATCATAAACTTGGATTAATTAGTTGCAGTGCAAGCTTGAAAGGGTGTAAGGGTTACAAATGTACTGTCAGTGATGTGAAAAGGAAGCTGATAAGAATCTATTTTAGGAATACATTGTACACTTAAACAACATGTTTTTGTGAAAGTGTAGTGTGATCATCCATGTGAGTGTAGTCTTGAGAAGGACTGTTGTCGGTGGTGGTGACTGATGTTTCAGTAAAGTTAGGTCAACCTAACTTTACCGATGGATCAAAACAGACCAATCATGACAGACTTACGCCACTTGAGTCTTACAGCCAATAACATCACGGCAAAACTGTTGTCGAAACGTCAGTCACCACTACCGACAACAGTCCTTCTCAGGACTACACTCACCTGGATGATCACACTACACCTTTACATGTTGTCCCTGGGTTCAAACTATTTACCGCACATCATGAATGTATGGGAAATTGCTATAAAAATGTGAATTTTAAAAATTTGCAGTTTGATGTGTTTGAAAGATCTTGTTGTTCTTTTGCAGATGTTCTCAGAAGACTAGCTGCCCTAGTGCTGATGCACATCCACTGCGATATGTGACAGAGCCATCCAACTGTCCACTATTTGCCTCTATCAGTCCTGAAAAAGTTCCCCATGGTCCAAGTATTGAAGTGTGTGAAGCAACTGAAAGATACAGTAAACATTCATGGGCCAATTTGTTTGAATTTTTTTTCATGTCAAACTTAGCAGCATTAATTTAATGATAGTTTCTAAGAAAAATTTTGGTAAAATCTTGCAGCGCACATGACAGGCTTTGCATTGATAAGTGATTTTGACACGTTATCAACTTCAAAATCCCCAAATTATCAATTTTGCTTTAGTTACTCTCATAATTTCAGTCAACCCTCATTGATTCAGTGATACATGTAGATAATATAGAAATGTCTTTTTTCTTGTCAAAGCTGACCGTAAAGGTATCCAATGTGCCACCATTAGCAGGATTGAAGTGCTTTGTAAATGGGAAAGAACAGAAACCAACAACTGTGGGCCCAGGAAATGAACTAAAGTGTCAAACACCACCGGAGAAAGATTTGCCAAGTATTACAAGTGATACAGGTACAAAATAATGTATATATTTTTGTATTTAAGCTATTAAATAATTGGCTAATTACAGTACAACACACTACTTCAACCTGAGCCAACCAATTCTTAAGACAGTACCATTTTAAAACCAAATAATTGGTTGGAGTTTCTTCAATTTTTGATCTTTGTTATTGCACAAATATATTGATAATATATATATTATTTTCTTGTCTTCTCCTCATTTGTCTTTGTAAATTATATAGCAAGTGATTGTGAACAAAAAGAATTAAAATATCAAAAGAAAAAAAAGAGACTGAAAAGGATGAAAAGTATATCTTGTCTGCTTGACTGATTTTCCCTCTCTCGATGATTGCAGCCAAATAAAGAAAAAAATTATCAGTGACGGGTTTAACTTAGTAATAAAATAATGTTTTTAAAAAAATGGCACAACTTTTTTTCTTGGTGGAAACATATTTCTTTTGCAGTGGGAGCAGTCTCAGGTGGGGAAGATTTGTATAAGCTAGTTGGTTTCATCAATCCCCAGGTTTATTCTTCTTTTTAGATTTTGGAGTAAACAACGTATTGTATTTTACTTCAAGGTGACGTATGGGTGGATCTTGCCCTCTACTCTACTGAGTCGCAGCTGTTATTCCTTGTTAAAAAGCTAGCATTTTATAGCTGTCCTGCAATTAAGGGGTGAGCATGTTGTCCAATGTGACATTCAATTTTGACATCAGACTCATAGCCCTACATGCATCTAATAGTGTAGAGGTTGACTTAAATTCTCTGGAAAACAACAAACTATAAGAAATTGAACTGTTAGTGCTTTCAACTATTTGTTCTCTGAAATGAAAATTATGGTAGTTGCAGAAACTTTGTTCAAGAGATTTGCACTTTTTTAGGCTGGGTCTCTCTAAGGCTTTGAGGATTACTGTAAAAGCTCGCAAATAAGCTGCACTTTTTTTTCCAAAAATCATCACTAGAAATTGGGGGTGTGGCTTATCTGCGGGAACATTTGAAAAAGTGCCTGGTCACTAAGCTCTGAATGTTCTGCTCACGTTTTTGTTGTTATGCAAAAAATCTATGGAAAAACTGTGTTGAATGAAGAAATTCCAGTCAGCAAATACCAGAAAACGACCAATCTTATGTGAAAGTTGGTAGAAACAATGTTCATTATAATAAAAAAGTGCTAAAATTGAAGTAACTGAATGTGAGTAATTATATAACAGACAAGTAGATGAATAAAATATTTACAGAATGATGTAATACAAAAGCGGGTACTAATTACAGCGGGACAACAAACTTGATATTAAAGGTGTGAACTAAAATGCTAGAAAAGTGTTATAATGCTGTAATTGTTTGTTAAGTTCAGGTTTGATCTTGTTTATATTAAAAAAGCTAAAACTCAAAGAAGCTTTTTATGTAAATAAGATCAAACCTGAACTTAACAAACAATTACAGCATTATAACACTTTTCTAGCATTTTAGTTCACACCTTTAATTTCATGTTTGTTGTCGCGCTGTAATTAGTACCTGCTTTTGTATCATATCATACTGTAAATATTTTTTTCATCTACTTGTCTGTTATATAATTACTCACATTCAGTTACTCATTGATTGAAAATGGCATAAGCATGCCGAAACATGTCTTTAAAAAAAGTTGCATATATCTTACAATATTTATCCTACTTGCTACTACTACGACCTTATTAAAATTGATTCAGAAGTATTTTCCATACAATGTAAATGATGAGTTTGCGTTCAATGAACAGTGGATGAAGAAGACTTCTCAAGACTCTACTTTGGATTTCTTTTGATTTCTATCAAAAAGCTTTTTTTCAAACATTTGAGCTGCAAAATTCAGGGTGCAGCTTATCTGTTAGTGCGGCTTATCTGCAGGCTTTTACGGTATTTAGTGAGTTCATTTTTACAGTTTCTTTCATCCTCAAATGTCATGCATACCTTCACTACTTTGTGCAACCACTAATGATTGCACTATTTCTCTTTTGACACACATGATCTACCTGTGTGCTGACCTCCATCTTATGAATAAATCTCTTTGAAATTGTATGTGTAAGCAGGATTACCACCATATGAAATTTTTCTTTAGCTCCATTCAAGAGGTCGATCCCAGTAAGCTACTGAGTATCCATATGTTACGTAATTACTAAAAGAAGGATTGACCTAAAACCACCTACAACCATCTAAAACCACCTACAACCACCCACAACCACCACCTACAACCACCTTCAGAATACTATTGTGTGACAATTTGTGACAATTTAAATGCACACCAGAAATGTTGTCGCATGTCTCGCATGTCATGACCAGGAAAAACAAGAGAATTTTTTACACGTAGTTACTAAAACAAGGAATGACCTACAATGAGCTACCATGGGAACAAGGAATGACCTAAAATGATCCACAATGATTTACAATGACCTACAATGAGCTACAATGACCTGCAGGGAGCTATTATGAGTGTTACGAAAAATTGTGGCGTGGCTTGCGTGACTTTCTAGCCCCATGATGGTGTGATGGCCTTTTTGTTTTGCTGTCTAAAAATATCAATGAGTTAAAGGTGTTGGCTCATAGTCTCGCGGTGCTGTGATACGTGACCTTATTAATGGTTTTGATATGAAAATATCAATGAGTAAAAGGTGTTGACAGGCCAAATATGACTCATAGCCTCATGATAGTGTAAAATTATGGGAGGCTTGTTATATAAGACCCTTAAAGACATCTTAAGCCAAAGGTTTTTGCATTTTTTTTTATCATTATCGTCATTAGACATGTCTCATTATAATACACTGTAAATTCATCTCCAAGCTAGAAATTCTGTTATCAAACACGTTACGTTAATGCACATGTCTCCTGTTTTTTTTGTTTTTTTTTTTCGCCTTTTTTCTAAAATCTTCATTTACTTCATTGCAGGGATCTTACAGTAGCTCACTGTAGGTCATTGTAGGTCATTGTAGGTCATTCCTTGTTTTAGTAACTACGTGTAAAAAATTCTCTTGTTTTCCCTGGTCATGACATGCGAGACATGTGACAACATTTCCGTTGTGCATTTACATTGTTACAAGTTGTCACACAATAGTATTCTGAAGGTGGTTGTAGGTGGTTTTAGATGGTTGTAGGTGGTTTTAGGTCATTCCTTCTTTTAGTAATTATGCCATATGTTATTTATTTGACTATTATTCAATCAGGTGGTACATGTACATAACGTATGTTTAATCCTATAAAGTAATAAATTTCACATCCATTTGGAGGAGACAGTGTCAATTATATAGGTATAATGGGCACTATTACTTATCATGATACTATCAACAGATTTTGTAAAAGTTTCCTGAAGCCTGAGTGCTAGGATATTATCTTAGCTTCTTTTTAGCACATTTGCTTGTGCATCCCATGCCTGAGAAAAAGATTTGCTTCTTTCATGTACATTTGTGGAAAAAACATTGTGATTTAACTGCAAATTCATGTGATTTAGATGCATAAATTGTGCAGAAGGAAACTACTCTTGCAACTGGTGCACATATCTTGGGAGATGCACCAGTAACAGCAGTGTGGACTGTCAAGGGGAATTTATAATGCCTCCACAGGTATCTATCAATACTGCATAGTGTACAGTACTGAGCAAGAAACATTTCTCATATGGTCTTGTTTTAGCGTCTTAAATAACATCTTGCGAAAATTCAAAACAAACCTTTTTTCGATACTTACATTTTCATAACTCTCAATAAAGAAACGACAACTTTAAATTTAAATTTACAAGACATGTTTTGGCATTCTCGTGTCATCTTCAGTTGCAAATGAGCTATTAATGGTTGTACATTTGAATTTATATTAAGGTACGTTACAAATAATAATGTGTCCGGACTTGTGTTACAATTTGAAAATTAGATACGCTTAGAATGAAATTAGCTAGCGCATAACTAGACCAAAAAAAAAAAAATTATAATAATAAATAAATAAATAAATAATAAAAGACAAAAGAAACAACATAATTAAAAGGAAAGAGATAAATCTAGATGCTTCAATTGCTGATTAAGAATGGGTTTTTCCCACTTAATATGCAATGCCTCTTTGATCTTAATTTGGAGTTTTGAGGCGGCAGAATCTAAAATCATGAAACATTCTGTTTCACAAGAGTCAAGACAGGCCCTTGATGATTGCAGGTGTCTATAAATATGTGAAGACTTGTCTGACCAGGGGTTCTCATGAGCTCGTGTACAAATGTGGCTAGTGGTCTCACCAATGTAACTGGCATTACAGCCAGCACATGAAAATTTATAAACGACACGCGAACTTAGACCTAGCAGTACTGAATCTTTCACACTGAACATGTTTCTGAGTTTAAACGTACTGAAGACTAATTTAACATCCAAATCAGATTTACAGTAACATTTGAGTAGTTGTCTTAACTTAGCCTGAGCGATCTTTGAAAACCGGCCAACATAAGGAAGTTTATAATGGTGCGAAGAAGGTTTCCTGGAGTCAGTTGAGTCGTTCTGAGTAAGAGAAGGATTATTTTTCTTAGCTAGATACCTGTAAATCATCCCGTTTATGACCCAAGATGGAAAACAGTTTTTCCGTAACAAGAAAATAAGCTATTTTCATTTTATGTGTATCTAATTTTCAAATTGTAACGTAAGTCCGGACACGTCATTATTTGTAACGTACCTTAATATAAATTGAAATGTACAGCTGTTAAAAGCTCATTTGCAACTGAAGATGACATGAGAATGTCAAAACATGTCTTGTAAATTTAAATTTAAAGTTGTCGTGTCTTTATTGAGAGTTATTGTCACTCTGCTGTCTTTACATCCGTTTGGTTACATTTCATCTTTTAAAAAAAAGTGGATATAAACCAAAAAGAAGATATTGTACACAGCTCTGACTGAGAGAACAATTGCTACTGTTCAATACAGTTGCCTTTCATCATCTATCAAATAAATGTCATCTTACAGTTATGTATGTGACAAAAAGTCTTTAAATTGGGAATTCTGCAAATGAATCACTGGAAAGCATGGTGTAATGGTTGTGCCTGCTACATAATGAATAGGGCGGTATCAAGTTTTTAAAGAAACTGTGGCGCTGAATCCGTGGGAGTAACAAGGTAATTGGGGTTTTATCAACTGAGTTAATGAAAATGTAAATTGGCCATCGTAAAGAGTTTTAAAAGCTGGTGGTTCTAGCATTAGTCATCAGGGCCAATTGAAAGGCTAATACTTGAAACATTTTAAAACCCTTTATGGTGGCCAATTTACAACTCCAGTCGCTGTAAGTACATCCTGGTTGACGATAGTGAATAATTATGTTGTGCTCTTTATAGGAACGAGCTGCTGATTCCAAGGGTTGCCCCCAAATAATAGCTGACAAGTCACTTTTTGTTCCTGCACAAGTTAACACCAGCATTAGTGTGCCTGCTAAAAATCTTCCTCCAGAAAAGGTGTTGTTACATACTTAACAAAATGCTCAAATACAAGAGACTTAAAAGTTCTTATTTATGGCTTTGTTGGTTGTTTTAAGTGGAAACTGTTTGATTTTACCCTTGGATTTGAACAGGCCAAATGTTACAGTTAAACAGCCACTAAATAAAAAGCACTTTAATTCGTCAGCCAAAACTACCTTGCCAATGGTAGCCAATGCCAGCTAATACAAATGAAGAAAACGTTTTGAGCGAGTAGGTTGAGAAGTCCAAATTAAAATCCAACAAGGATGAAATTAACTGGTCCAATGTACTCATACATTTAATATTTAATTCCTGAGTTTCTCAAATTGCATTATTGATACAATTGCTTTGTTTGATTTTGGGGTAATCATGCTCATAATTTCAAATCAGCCTTAGGCCTTGCTATTACTTCTCAATTACACCTCAACCCAACTCAATCCTATCACCATTACTAAGAATATTTTTACAGTAGGCAAGATAAGATTAAAATCTGTTAGATGTGTTTACACCAGAGGTGTGTCTTTTTGTTTTTATGATGACTTTGTAGCTTCTTTTTGGTTTAGTATGGTTATAGTTAAATAATTCAGTGGGTAGGCTGGTGATACTTTGAATCAATAACTATCTACAGGGTGAATTTCACTCTGAAATTGTTTTCTGTGGTTTGATTGTGGCTATTGTTGTTGTGTGGATAGACTGGCTTTACTCATAAATGTTTGTGAGTTGACTGTGATAGTGTTGATATGACCAGGTTGGTCATACCAGGTTGGCAGGTTGACTCTGACTATTGATTATAAACCATCATAACATAAGTGTACCAGTTTATTAGCTGGTAAAGTGATAGAAAGTATGCATAATCGTAGACAGGCTTCAAGTTCATAAATACTGATGTGAATAAACATCTGTGGGTTGAATGTGACCATAAAATTGATGTTTGTGGAATGACTGACCATGTCACTGTTTGCCTGATAAATTGTTTTGATTTCTGTGGATAGGGTGTTGCCTCTTACAAATGTGTTGTAACAGTTGATGGATCAAGGAAGACATCAGTGGCCTATCGAATTAGTGATACAGAGTTAAAGTGCTCTCCTTTGGAAGTATGTGTATTTATGAAAGTTGTTAAATTGTATTTAGAAGTCATGATATTTAAGTGAATCATGGAAAATTATTCAGTAGTGGTTATTGGAAACAAGTGCCTTAAAGCAAAACTCATATTGTTCTTATGACTCCATAGTTACTCTTGGCATCCATTTCACTTATATTTTTCTGTTAAGTCTGCTGACTAGGATGAAAGGCTTTCATGTTCAGTTCCTGTATGGGGTGCAACTGATAGATTGGTTAAAAATTTAGCATTCTTTTGAGAAGTGTCATGTATTCAACCAACAGCTGAGATTAGTAAGCATTAAATTCTACCTATTGAAGAAAAAAAGGGCCCTAATTAAGACTGTGTATTGTCACACTGCACAAGGTTTTGCACACATATTGTGTATATGAGGCATTTGATAGACATGGTTAAATATATTCTTTGAGGGTGACAAGCCATATTTCATTTCAGTATTTATACATGTAGGTCTTCCTCATAAACTTTGTTGATCCTGGATTTGAAAATTCAACTGCAAAAAAAGACAAAATTGATGAACTGTGTCTCAGTCTTTACTTTGGGATGAATAGAACCCTCACTTTTTTTAAAACAGGATCGGTAACTGACTTCTTGCTGTAAAATAACTTATTAAATGCTGATTGTTGTGCAATAAATAATTATTATGGTTAGGTTGTGGGGAAATGGTAGTAACAAACGTTTACATCCTTTTAAAGAAGAAGATAAAAAATTGAAAAAGAAAATGAAAGACTTGTTAGCATCAGGGATCAACCCAAGGTCAAGAAAAGTGCTTTCCTTTTTGAAAGTTTCCAGAGTGTATTACTTATCATTATGAAAACATGCTTTCAGTGAGTAGAGCTCATGGATGAAACATGACTCTCCCTAACCAAAAGTTTTAAAGTACGAAGTCAGTTTGGTGCACTTGACATCTGAGCCCAGCATAGTTCATTTTGCGAGTTTTGGGGCTGGCAGCCACTTTGATTAATAAGTCTTTGAAGTAATTCTTTAAAGGATCTGTGAACCAGTTTCACTTTATTTTTATTGTTAAGTATTTCTACAAAGCATCCATCAAGAAACAGGAGGTGAAATTAGAAGTGATCTTTAGGAATTCAGATGTCCTGTACACGCCAAATACTTTCAAAGGTAATGTTTATAAAGCTTCATTTTTTATTTGGTTTAGAATACAAATATGATGAAGACTGCCACTCACTATGTAGTAGTGGAACTGTTGTAATCATTACATGTTAAATGAGCCTGACACTTCATTGTGAGGCAAACAATTAAACATTCATTTATTATACTGAATAATTGTTAATTTATTGATTAATGTGTGTGATGATTTGAAAATTGCATTCATGTACAGCAGATGATACTTACAGTACAATACTTAAAAATAAACACCATGATATAAAATTTAAAATTACTCAAACTATGGGGAATACACCATTTTCAAGATTTTTAAAACTTAAGTCTTGGTTACATTCATTAGCTAATTATGCAAAAGGAATAACCATTTATCTACAGTACTTTAAGGTCACTAATAATTATACATGAAATAAATACTCAGTTCTGATCGGTTAAGATAAATGCAATTTTCAGGTAATTCAGTGCAGAAGAGAGTAAATTCAGTGCAAAGAAAGTAACAAACCAGACATTCTGATAGTGGTCAATAATCAAAGAAACTCAGAATTACAATTTGGAATAAATAAGCACAAGTAAATTTTTTCAAAGACCACAAATTGCACTTGCCCTACGGGCTCAGGCAATTTTGTTAGTCTATACTTGTGCTTATTTTATTCCAAATTGCACTTGAAGTCATGCAATTACCTAGACAAATAGGAAGTGATGGAGATCTACGTTCATTGATTTTTCATGTATTTAGTGACAGGTTGCTATTTCCTACAATTTTTGAAATTAGGATAGCTTTCTAAGTTTGTTTAAGGAAGCCATATGTGATAGGTTGCTCGAAGGAAACAGTAAATTTAGATAGAAACTTCAATAAACCTGTTAGAAATGTTGCCTAAACATCTGTTTTGTTTGCTTTGAATTGAAAACAATGTAAAAGTATGTATTATGTCACCTCTAACTTCAGGCTGAGTAATAGTTTAGAAATATGTTATAATTTGAATATATCAACAAAGTTGAAATGGTAAAATGGCCACCGTTACGATTATAAAAACTGACGTTTCGAGCGTTAGCCCTTCGTCGGAGCGAATAGGGAAATTGTGGGTTGTGTGTGCTTTTAAAGGCAGAAAAAGGAGCTACGTGATTGGTGGGAACATGGCAACGAGAAAAACACGAATAAATTAGTGGAATGAAAAGCATTCGTTGATACCTGTGGGATTTAGACTGCCAGTTTGAAAGATGAGCTTTTGTTCAAGAGTTTTCTGGCTTTCCGTGCTACCTAAGTGTAAGGAAAGACTGCAGATTGCTATGTGTTGCTTAGAATGGTTAGGTAAATTAAAATGTCTAGCGACTGGTTTCAGTGTGTCCTTGTCATTCCTCTCCACGTCGCGAAGGTGTTTTCGGAATCGGTCACTTAGTCTTCTGCCTGTTTCGCCGATGTAAATCTTTTTGCAATAAGTGCAAGTTATGCAATAGATTACATTGGCGGAGGTGCACGTGAAGTGATTGGTGATCTTAATGGATCGTTTGGGTCCCGATATTTTCTCAGTGTTGTGAATGAAAGGACACGTTTTGCATCATGCACGAGTGCATTTAAAAGTGCCTGGTTGGTCATTAGTCTGAAAAGAACTTCTGACCAAAAATTGCCTAGGTTTTTGTTGCGTTTGAATGAAATGAGCGGAGGCTGCAAAACCTCCGCTCATTTCATTTCATCAAATTTTGATGATATATTCAAATTATTTCGTTATCCCCACCGACGCAGCCCCAAACAGTTTCTTTAGAAACTATCAACCTTTAGAAATATGTTAATTTGTTAGATAAAATCTTAATTTTTTCAATTTGCTTTTTTTATAAAATAAATATATTCTGGAATTCAAGTAAGATGGAAACCAAGACTGTGCTAAAAGGGGTGAATTAAGGCCTTAAAGACTAGTCAAAACAAAACTGTAGTGAGGGACCACTTAAAAAGTGCTGTCATTATGATTGATTTGTACATACCTACATGTATTGCTACTTACTCTTGCTACAAAGTACGTAACTTCAAACTTTTTTCACCTTTGGGTGTAAATTATGTTTAGCACTTAAAAGAGTCGACAATTGAATCAATTTCTGAACATAAATATATATATGTTGAGTTAGAAAAATGCAGACTACACTTTGATTCCATCTTATATTAGGCGCTACTAATTGATCGTTCAAAGGCCCTTTTCTTGGATTTTGTTGGCCCTTTAGGTGTGGATTGGACTCAGAGGCCCTGCCAAGGGATCTTATTATGATTAGTATCATTTAAGGGCCCCTCCAGGGATTTTGTTGCTAATTTGCCTTTTCGGGCTCCAAAGGCCTTGTTTTGGGATTTTGTTACGGTTTACAGTTGTTGTAAAAAGTGGGCCTTCCCTTTTTTAATGCTTGCCGCATTGCTTCTTTGCAATTGATTACGCCACTCATATTAACATAATTATTTAGTATTCTTATCTCTTAGTTTTTAGGGTTTGTTTCTTGTATTTTGTCCATTGCTTTCTTTGTAATTAGGTTTTTTGTTTATTAGCACCAGTTCATTAGTCATTATCTGTAATAACGTAATCATTAGCACTTCGATCCTATTTAATGCTCTTTTTTTATTTCAAAAGTTGTAAATAACTGAAGAAGGTCTCTGACCGAAACGTTTTTTATTAAAATTTTTTATATTTTTTACGTCAGAAGTTGTCCATCCTCGCAATTTTTTAAACTTTCTATATATAAAATTATATATATTTTTTTTTAGTGTTGAGCACTGTAACGGAAATCAAAACGAAGAGTTCTTATATAAACATATAGATATATATGTTTTTTTTTTTAGTGTATCTCTACAAGTGTTGGGTATCCATAACAGACTGTAGCAGCTGTCACGTGGAAGCTGATGCAGATTATCAATGTGGGTGGTGCAAATCTGTTTCAAAATGTGTTGTACAAAAAGCTTGTGGAGAAGGTGGAGCGTGGATTCCACCTACATCACGGTGCCTTACAAAACCCAACATTTCTAAGGTATTACATTCAATTTAATTTTATCTTTTCTTAACTTCTAACATATAATAGTTTTTTCTGATTTTCTATCTATCTTGTATCTGTTGTTGAATGCCATAAATATAGTGGTAACATTTTTCATGGAGGTTTCTTTGTTTAGTATCAAGCAATGTAAATGGTTGCTAACAATTAAAGGCAGAAGCAAAATGTTTCCGTCATATAATTTCTTATTTTTTCCTGCCATCATTTCATGGGGCCCTTTCTTCAATTTTAAAGAGAAATGCTGTAATGAGTTCGTTTTTATTTTTTTAACATGTCTTTAGGTATGGCCATTAACTGGTCCAGTGACTGGAGGAACAGAGATAGAAATCCATGGATCTGACCTTGGAAAAAACTTTGATAACATAAAGGATTCTGTCATGGTGGCAGGCATGAAATGTTATCCTGACCAAACCAAATATCAACCCTCAAAAAGGTAAATAACAGAAATGTCTATTAAAACTAAGCAATCTTTTGTTTCTGAGACTTTCATGCCTTGTTGTCTATTGGACACTCAACATGCCAAGTATGAAACCTGGCCTTATTCAAAATTTGTTATAATTCATAGAAATAATGTTGACATAGTGAGCTTGTACTCTTAAATGATTGAATGCTCTGTGCATATTTTCTTTTTTGCAGGATTTTTTGTAACACATCAAATAGTACTGGACCTTTGAGTGGTCCAGTTTCTGTGAAGGTCAATAAAATCGAAGGAAAGTCAAAGCAGCTTTTTTCCTATCAGGTCTGTTGAAAAAATAAACACTGCTATTTTTATAGTAGAGTTTACCAGGGTCTCTATGATCACTAATGGCTGTGGTATGTATACTACTAAGTAGAATGGACTTATTTTTTGGCATACAGCTGTTTGAGCACAATTTTTGTAACACACCTTCACAAGTTTCTTTCACTTAGTTGGGTTTTTCACAACCAGTTAATATTGTCTTTGGAGCATGGCTGTTTTCCCAATCATTTGGAGAGTGGTTTAGAGTTTAAGTTGAAGTAATTTATTTAGATATGATTAACAGTTCATATTTGTTTCAACTTTGTAGCTAACACATCTGAATAGGGTCCAAATGATGAAGATCAAAGATCTTGATGATTATATTCTTTGTATGCAATCTCCTGTTACATATGAAAAGATTCCGTTTTGAATTTGCTGTGGTAGATTGTCTCCCAGTTAATCACAGTTGGGTATTAGGAAGGGAAAGAAAATATCAAACATTTGGCTATGAGGGCCAATTTGTTTCTGTAAGTCATACCTTTGCCATAGTGTGAAAGTTTTACCCTCAAAATGGTGCAGATGAATGCTGCAAAGGAAAACCACTGTTCTTTTGTGGTTAGAAGTAGATGTTAAACTGAGCATTGTAAACTGAGTAGATGTTAAACTGAGCATTGTCTTTAGTGGTTAAAACAGCCTGGCAACTTACTTTGATTAAGGCCATGGGTTCTACTAGCATTTTCTTTTTGTGTGTATTTGTCCATGGATATTTGGCATATGAAATTAACCTCAGAAATTTTGGTCACACTCACTAAACTTCTATCCAATGGTAGAGGGTTGATGACCACGGTCAAAGTGTCCTTTATAACAACACCTACTCAACCAAGCACTGGGTCATCATATATTGCTAAGAAATTATGTCACAGTTTCTATAAAACTTAAATGTACACAATCTTGCCTCATTAATGAGTTCTCCAGGTATCTTAGGAACTTATGAAAGATGGGTATTGAAAAAGCTGGTATTTGTGGTTAGAAAGATCTATACTATAATCCTTGAAGTAAAACTGTGTTCAATTTTGTCAAAATTAAACTTGTCGCTAATTGCTGAGCTTGGGAAAGCTGGTGCCGTAAAAGTTAGCAGGGAAGGAGCCCGGGGAATTCCAGGCACCACTTGCAGGTCTCCATGGTAACCTGGCAAGCGGGAACCACCCCGGCAGCAGCTGCTAACAGACACCGTCACACCGAAACTTGTCCAGTGGAGATACTTGCAACTTACCATACCCATTACTTACCTCTGCGGTTGAAAATGCCCTTTGGCAGGGAAGGGTGGGGCTAATGAATCTGCTAAAATTTGCTGAAATGGGCAACGATCACAATGATCGATTGCGAGCAAGGCTAGCGTGGTTTGCTCCTTCAAAATCTAGGGGGAACCCCGTAGAGCCTGTGCGAAACTATGCGGAACCGCTGGCTGCATTAGCTTGAGGTTAACCTTGCCTAAATTATATTTAGCCACATTAAATGTTAACTTGTATGTTAAGTTGCATTTGGCAGTAGCATGAGTTTCAATCCTTATTGGGCTGCTAATTTAATTAACAACACAATTCTTTCATGTTTTCACTTGTTTTCATGTTTTCACTTGCCATCAATGTCTACTGTATATGTATAAGCTATTCTTAACTGCTTTGTTCATGTATAAGAAATGTCTTTCTATTCACCCCTAGATCCCAGAGCCAATAGATTTTAATCCCAAGAAGGGTCCTAGATCTGGAGGCACAACTGTAAAAATAGCTGGTCTGAAAATGAATACAGGGAGACACATTACAGCTATGGTTGCTGGCCGAAAGTGTGTTGTTGACAGAGCTAAGTAAGTTCTCCTATTCACCTGTAGGAACAACTGTAAGAAAAAATGATCAGTTTCTCAAGTGGTTTGTTTGCACAGAATTCAGTATTTTTTTTTATTATTTAAAGGGAAAGAGGACACTTATAATAAGATACTGTTGAACATTTAAAAGCATATGGTCAGTGGGTGTCAGTACTAATGATTATATTACAATCTCAAAGAGCAGAATTTACCTTAACCCTTTCACTGCAAACAATTTTTTCACCCTGTGTGTGTCAGTAGTGCATTTTGTCAGTTGTTTTGTCATGTCTCTGATTGTTTGATTGTTTTACAGTATGTAGGGAAGTATTCATGCAAGTACAGCTGTACTATGTTTTAGGGTGTGCTGAGTAAGTCCTATTAGCATATGAGAAATCTGAAACAGGAAGTACTTAGTACGTCCTTGTAGTAGTGAGGGGGTTAAAATGTCTTAGCATTTTAGGTGATACTTAGGATTGCCCCTTGGTTCTATTTTTGTGATGTTTTGCTGGGGGTTGGACTACAATGGTCCATCTGTTATGTTTTGTCAACAGGGTGACAAATAACAGCATATCGTGTACAATTAGCAGAGCATTTAGTAGAAGGAAAAGAAATGCAGTAAATGCCAGTACAGGTGTCACAGTATCATTTGACGGTTTTACTCCAACTGGTCCAAGGGGAATATTTGTATTTACTCCTGATCCTACAGTTACATCTATTGAGCCAGATGAAGTTTTTTTTGGGTAAGTTTTTATTTGGCAGCGAGAGATCACACAGCCCTTTTAGAGTATTTCAGTTCCTAACTATATCATCTTTGTGATAAAATGTACTTTCTTCATCAGCTACAGTATGACACATTGTTGGGCCATGTCTTCTTCTTCTCTATATTTTTGAAGGGCAAACCCTAGTCATGCAATGTGTAATACACAGAAGTGTGACTATGCAGTAAGCATCTCTTTCAAGAAGTGTTGAGCTCCAAATCTTTTCTCCTTGTAGTGGAGGCCTGATGTTGCGCATCAGTGGCACCAATTTGGACACCATTCAGAAACCAAGAATGTATCTCGCATATTTTTCACCCAATGGAACTACTAAATTGAATATCACTGTTCAGGTAAAAGCTGGTAAACTTTATTTTAAATTGATGTCTCACATAAATGTAGGTACGTATGATGCATGATCCTTGCAGTAGAGAGCGCTATTTATGCAATAGTGAAAAATAATTTGTCGCTATTGCATAAATAGCGCTCTCTACAGTGAGGATCGTGCATCATACATATCTATAACCGCAGTTCAAAATATATGAACTTCATATATCCATCGTATAAATATAGGTGTAGTTAATTCAGCCTCACAATTGTAAGGGTCAGGCACACCTTTTTTCAACATTTTTACAGCCAGAAATTGTACAGGAACTCAAATTTTAGTAAATAAAGGCTGATAGTTTCGAAAGAAACTGTTTGGAGCTGCGTCGGTGGGAGTAACGAAATAATTTGGATATATCAACAAAGTTGAAATGGTAAATTGGCCACCGTAATGATTACAAAAGCTGACGTTTCGAGCGTTAGCCCTTCGTCGGACCGACGAAGGGCTAACGCTCGAAACGTCAGCTTTTGTAATCATTACGGTGGCCAATTTACCATTTCAACTTTGTTGATATATTCAAATTTTAGTATCTTGACTTCAACTTGTTCCACCGTTCATGCCACAAACATTGTTGGTTGGCCCATTTCTCCACCCATTTCTCCTGAAAGTATGAAACACAGGAGTGTTTAAAGCAGGACATAGAAGGACATCCAAATGAGATTATTAAAGTACTGAATTGTTATGATATTTTATTATTCATAGGAATGTGAATCAAAAAGCAGCACATTGATGGAATGTCTAAGTCCAAAAGTACCAGATTTTGTGGGAAATGTGTCAAAAGTGCAGGTTCAGTTTTTAATGGATGCTGATATACCATTGCGTTCAAACTACACAAGTTTAACAATGATTCCAAATCCATTCTTTGAGCATTTTGAAGATAATCTCTTTGTGCTGAAGACAGAAAACCTTATCCTTGAGGTATGAGTTACAAAGTCAGTTTATAAGAATATGATTTTGTATCTACCCACTTTACATATAATATGATTATGATTCTTCCCTACTTATCAACATCAGAATGAGTGCAATAGTCTTTTCAGTTATTTGTGCAGGTTGATTTAAAGTTGTATGACATTGGAGGAAGCTATGTGTATAATGTTTCATGGCCAACTTTTTTAAAATTCCATGCGACCATCTTTATGTGTACTCATTGCGTGTATTTTGTATTTTTTATATACAATGTAATGGCTTACTGTAATTTGCAAAACAAAACAAAATAAATATATGTTATTAGTGAAAACTAGAAATCTGTAATTTACAAAATAAAAAAATTGTTACTGATTTGCAAAATAGAAATTGCTTAATGATTTGCTGAACAAATTGAAATCTTTAATTTGCAAAATAACAATTTATAATTTGCATAGTGTTCTCTGTGAAATTGCCACTATGTGAATAAATCAATGTGTCAAAAAATTCATGCGAGTGCCGTCATGGCTGCCTGGGCATCATCGATGCTCATTATTTTATTGTTAATTCTTACTTCAAATGTTATCGAAGACTACTCTGTACGAGCTACTAGATTATTTAACCAACCCGAGTACACTCTAGAGGGGAGAAAACTCCAAGTGAGCGTTCTCCGGCGTGTTTTTGCATCTAAATTTGCTCTCAGGTGGCCAGCTCGTAGTTTCTCAAAGCACGGATGTTTGTGTCTAGCTCTTCTGTGTAGTCTCTTCATTGTGGACCTCACAGTCCACTGCGACGTGTCTAACAACCCTAGGCCAATCTTATGGAGTCATTGGAATTACAACAGTCTTCGCTGCAGTTCTTCTAAGAACAATTATCTTGCAAAGGAAGACAAGGTTATTAAATATTCAAGATCACAACTTTATTCTCTTTGAAAACAAAGTCTCTCACAAAACCCTCACATTGCCTTGGACCTGAAGACAAGTGGGCTTTTTCACAGCTGGGGAATGAGAGCAGGACTTAAAGTGCGACAAAGAACCATTAGAGAACAACCAATTCTATTGAAACTAGCTCCTTGAAATCCCACTTGCCTTTGCTGACTAAGTTGCATGACAACATCCGTGACAAGAATTTGCTTCGAAAGATTCCTTACGCAAAAATCTACGACCTCCCCATTGTCTTGTCTACCAACTTACAAGCACTATGAAATAAGACCGACAAATTGCGACTCATTGCATTGCTCAACAAGGCTGATGTGGTTTGTGTAACGGAGTCCTGGTTATCGCCCCAGACTGATGACTTACTAGTTGCTTTGCCTGGTTATAATTTGATTCGAAGGGACGGTGAAAGCGGTAGTGGTAGGGGTGGTGTTTGCATATATCTCAGGACTTTCTACCCTTGCAAGAGGCTGGTTAACTGTGAAGATCGGAATATCGAGTCATTGTGGATAATGTTAAAACCGTGTAGCCAACCAAGATCTGTTGCATGCATTATATTGTGTGTTATTTATCATTCTATGGCCAATGGTGAAATGGAGAATGCAGCGTTGTGTGATCATGTTCAGACAAACCTTGATACCTTAATGCACTGGTAATCATCACTGGATACTTTAACCCCACGTCAACCACGTTTAATATGAAAGATCTGACCCATGTGAATAACATCGAGCAAATGGTGAAATTTAAAACCAGAGACTCGGGTACCTTGCACTAGTTTCTGACTAACATGCCTAAATTATTTGATCTCTCTCAACTGCCAAAGATTGGTACTTCGGACCACTTTACCATCCTTGCTAGATGTGTGACACCCTCTCTGAACTCTCATATTAATAGAAAACTGCGGGTCAGAGATGTGAGAGAAAGCACCTGGCGACTCTTTGGTAGATGGATGTTAGAGAAGGACTGGGTCCATGTTCTTGAAGCGACCCCGTGTAACGAAAAATTCCAGCTTTTTTCTTCGGAGTTAAAAGGGGCTATTGAGCTTTTATTGCCATGGAGAATTGTTAAAATCAATAGTTCAGATAGACCCTGGATAACAAAGAGGTTAAAGTCATCCATTAAAAAGTGGCAAGAGGCCTTTATTAAGCATGGCAAGGACTCTAGCACCTATAAGATGTGGAGGAATTCTGTCCAGAAAGAAATTAAGTCTGCTAAACATCTCTACTATAGGAATAAAGTTGCTGATCTCGAGTTTGATCACTCGTCTAATAAGAATTGGTGGAATCATATTAAACGCTTGACTGGAAAGGATATTAAGCAGGATTGGTATTATCAATTCTTGGATCGAAACTGCTCGGATTTGCTCTCCCTCTCAAATAAGGTAAACAATTTTTTTTACCAGTTTGACAGATCATTTTACACCTTTAGAACCTCTAGTCTTGGCCCCTCAGGAAGTTCCCCCTGAATTCTTGGTATCTGAGAAGAAAGCCTTCCAGGCCCTCTCATCTGTGAAGATCGGCAAAGCTATTGGCCCTGATTGCATCCCAAACAGGGTATTGAAGGAGTTCACTCAAGAACTAGCACCAGTTGTCCAGGATATTTATAACGCATCCCTGATCGAGGGTTATTTTCCTGATGCCTTGAAGGCCTCATTGCTGTACCCAATCCCTAAAATCTCACCCCTGCAGCAGATGGAGAGCAATTTGCGGCCCATCGCTCTGACATGCACTCTTGCTGAGGTGCTTGAGGGATTCACACGGGACTGCTTGATTACACAAGTGTCTCATCAGATCGACCCTCGTCAGTTTGCTTGTGCAGGACATTCCACTACTAATGCGTTAGGCTATTTGCTACAGGCTGTACGTGAGGCAGTGGATACAGGGAGTTGTAGTGCTAGGCTTTTCTTTGCTGACTACTCTAAAGGTTTTGATATGATTGATCACAATGTGCTAATTGATGAGCTAAGGAACATGCAGTAATAATAATAATAATAATTTATTTCTTATATAGCGCTACTTACAATAACAGATCAATAGGGCTTTACAACTGATATCTCTAAATATTAAAATTTCATCTAATTAAAAAATAAATAGATAAATAAATAATAATTACATATTACAGTTAAATTGGCTATATAGGATTCATAATCTACATGATCTACATCCATTCAGTTTTCAAATAAGAATTCCGTTTTACCACGACGAAGTTGTCAGTCTACTAAAACGAACGCTCCTCATAAGCGTTCCCTTTTTTTCTCGTACGAACCGAAACCACATAAGAAAATTAGTAATCTAAATTTACTCACCCTGTTAAGACGGTT